CTATTATCAAAGTACGAGACGTTTTACTCACGTGGACCAGAAACTCGAAGGAGGACTATCAGAGACCAATTCGAGCTTGCACGAGTGACTCAGAGCTCCGAATAGTCTGTAGATTGGCTCCACGTGCAGCCGATCGGGAATCGCTCTACACTTTACTTATCGTCGACGATTGGCGACGGATTATGAGTTAGTAGTCGAAGAGAAACGACTATCAGAGACCGATTCGAGCTTGTACGAGTGACTCAGAGCTCCGAATAGTCTGGCCAACAAAAGCTGGAGATGGCGTCGACCATTACAAGGAAGTATCTGAGCCCAAAGCTATCCTTGATCAACATGTCTACAATGTCGGCATAGACTCTACTCCAGGCTCCATCAAGATCAACCGTGGAGTCACCGTACGAATTCTGAACACCAAAAACGGCCAATCTAACCCTCTTCCCGAAACATTGAGGACACTCACTGATTACAGCTTAAGCAGCTTGCTTGAACTTTGGAGCAACAAAATCCCGTGTAAACAGGTACTGGATATATGACATATCCAGTATAGATATATCATATCTCAGAGAACAATGGGCGTTCGTCAAATGATAGTGACGAGAAAAGCTAGACAGTAGCTCTGGATCACTAGGCAGTAAGATACAGAATCTTGGAGGTACAGCTTCACCTTCTCGGAACCGACACTCGACAACAAGACCATGCCTATCCATGTGATACCACCGACCTTCATTGCTCAAAAGTCGGCTGAAATAGTCGTTCTTGGACTCGCCCATCAAAGAGCTCATCAGCTGATAGATGAAACTATCGGTTTCTTGAATAGATCGTAACCGAGCGATAATCTCTTCCGGCTTTGCTAAGTCCAACTCCATAACTTTCGAGCATACTTGAACAGGGTCATCCTCTACTCTCTCCTCTCCTAGTTGGTCGGAAGTAGAGGATCCTCTCTCCTCTTGCAAGGCCGCGACACTTACAAGATCCCAGCTGACATCACGGCAACTCTCACTTCAGTGACATGATTCCGTACTTCCACCTTCAACAGAAAACACCGTCACTAGACGTTCTAGTCTAGAACACATCTTCACCCTAAAAACGTACCGCTATCACCACTCACAAGCAAACCCCTCTGTACCCAAGGCACGTCTTATCGAACAGTTTACAAACAGAATCAAGATAGGCCTGCTGCTAAGAAAGGCAAAAGAATCACACTCAGTCTCAAAGCTTCATTCGCTTATCAGTGACATAGGGTATGTCCCATCAGACACACTATTTTAACGACGAATATTAGCTGTTCGCGCAGCGCGGATGTATACCCCAAGGGATATTTTCGGGAGGAGGAATTGTGGCGGTTTTCGGTCCGACTGTGGCAGTGCCACACGGTTCTGCCCTACTCTATGAGTTCCTCGAGAAAAGATATTGACGACTGACTCTCGTGTAACTCAACATAGCTCCGCTATGATTAGAAGACAGCTAGGACAGTTCGCTGGAACCGAAAATCCGAGTCGAAGGCGCTGCAGTTCTTCTGTGAAAATTCGAAGTACTAATAGTTTCGCGACTCTACTTTTATGGTACGGAGTCCGTATTACGGACGCAATGAACAGTTCATTTTGAACTCCTCAGACGGTCGCGTCACAAGAATACAGTGTAGCAAAAGCATTTAGCATGAAACTGATATTAAGATTAACATCATAGATATAATTGGGATGCATCACAGATCCATAGTATGATAAGATAACTCACACCCAGGGCTCCCACCATAGATTGATCAAGACAGAATCACGCCGCGCTGCGGCTTCCGTCAATGGTCACCATATACCTCACTATTAGCAGATTATCCGCAAAAAGTGCAGCAGACACCTCTTGTACATTCACACCTAACCCACGAGAGACAATGGTTTGGCTCTTTTGGCAAACAGCTCATGAAGAACAATGGAAATGTACATGTGCCACCCGTGCAATGGCAGGTTCCACTTGGGCAATCAGAGTCTGCCGTGCAAGACACCGCACCGTTCGCAACATCGATAATAGTCGAGAGGATGATCAGGATGCGAATCATCTACGGTTAGAGGTGGAGATCACAACAACTGCGAATTACATCCAATGACGCCTACTTCGAGATCAAAATGATCACAATCATTTGTCGATAAAATTTCAAATTCCTCCTCACGTATCACGACGCGTAGTATGGTGTGTACTCTCACCCAGGCGCCTGACGAACCGATTCGCCGGCCAAATTCACAGCCTAGCGTCGCTGGTCACGGTCTAGCGTCGTGCAATGTCCCCTACGCATGCTATGCGTAGGGGACATTATGCGGCACGTGAATATTTGAGAGCATAGATTTTGGCGAAGCGTCGAAGGAACGAGCATTTACTGGCGGTTTCTGCTCATTTTCTATGAGTGATAAACGGGGTACGGCTTCTTGGCGGAGAAATGCTTTAGCTTGGGATCGTCCCGTCACCTCTAAGGAGAGGGAAATTGCGTGACCTGGTTGAGTTTCCCTGAGACGAGCGTTGAATAACCTCTTTTGGTCGATGTGTTGGAATTTGTGCTTCCGACTGCAGTACTCGATGCCATGATGGTCCCAATGAAGTCGAAAAACTCTGGCTCTCACCATTTATCCTATTTGCAATTATGAGCCGCCACGAAATCAACTGTCTGTTATGATGTACGCATGAACAATGTACGCATGATCAAAATAATCACAATCATATGGCGAGAAAATTTCAAATTTCTCACGTATCATGCGGCGCAGTATCATACTGCCAGTAGGGCGTGTGGCCCTCACCCAGGCGCCTGACGGATCGATTACCGTTTTTAGTCGCGGCCTAGCATCGCTGCTCACGGTCTAGCATCGTGCATGCGTAGGGGACATTGTGCGGTACGGAAATATTTGAGCGCATAGATTTTGGCGAAGCGTCGAAGAACCGATGATTTGACTGGCGGTTTCTGCTCATTTTCTATGAGTGATAAACGGGGTACGGCTTCTTGGCGGAGAAATGCCCTAGCTTGGGATCGTCCCGTCATCTCTAAGGAGACGGAAATTTGCGTGACCTGGCTACGTATCCCTGGGACGAGCGTTGAATAACCTCTTTTGTTCGATGAAAGTGAGACTCGGGTTTGACTCAAACCGTTTGAGGTTTGCTCAATACCCCTCCCATTCGGAATGCGTCCGTTGGCGAAACCGCTTTATTCGTAGAGCCTAGTCATCGACGATGACATTCGAGAACACTTCTCGAGACTGGGAGGGAAATCTACTCTGATCCTCCACCATTATCATGGTCATACAGTATGACTCATACATATGGGTTCGTTGCGTTCGCTGATAGCAACCGCATGAGGAGTAGCATCAATGCTGCGGGCGTC